ATCAATCAGCAGAAGGAAACCACAGGAAAAAAAAAAAACATGAAAATTTGATCTTGATAAACCAAAAATCTATTAATTAAGAAGTTCCAGGTTACTTTCTTAGTTTTCTCTATTATCTCTTCTCAAGCCACTCTAACCATGACAAGAATGTTTATATGCTAATGCATGCATACACATATTCATTAATATTCTAGCTAGTAAAATATAAAACCCACAGACATATCCTACAAAACAAAGTTGGTCTGAATACTGAGAAAAGGAAAGTCTACAAGGTTTGCATTTCAAATGTCAAATTAGAAGCATACTTGTTAGAGTTTCCAAAGAAAACTATTACAAAAGAAGTAGGAGGTGCATGAGCAAAAGCCACACAACAAATTATTTGTCAACTCCAGTTGGAAATTATATTTTTGATTTTAATTGAATAGACATGATTCTGGGTTTTGTATTTTGAAGACTATTTCTGCAGCTGTGGCATTACAGAAGTGAACAAATGCTGGATGAATACAGCAGGCAAGGAATGTTTTTCCAGTCAGTGGGAACTTCAGTGGGCTGCCACAACTTCTCAAATAGGGTAGAAAGCAGCTTAACCACTCCCTGGATAGTGCCCTCAGCACCTGCAAATGCATGTCATCAGGTCTCATGAAGCCAGGACCTTCAAGGTCCTTAGATGGCCTTGAACCTGATCTTCTCCCTCAGTGACTGTGAGATTGCTCCTCCTCCCAGCCTCTGCCTTTTGGGCAGTGTGGTTGGAGCACTCGGCAGTGGAGAAGGATGCACAAAAGTGCATCAAGTAACTCAGCTTTCTCCATATCCCAGGTAACAAGGTCTCCTGTGTCCTTACAAAAAGGGTCCAGATTTTTTCTATACCTCCTTTTATCACTGACATGTCTATAGGAGCTTGTTTGGTTGCTCTTGACACTCCTGGCTAGGTTTAACTCTATCAGAGTTGAATGGATAAATGTGGTATGTGACAGGGAGTTGGTTGCTTGGGTTTACTTACTTGCTTTGGTGGGGTTTTTTTTTAAGATATAAAGATCTGTATTAATAACATACTGTATGAGGTCAGGGTACGCTTGATAAGAGAGTATCACTTTACTGGTGGGGAGAGAAGGAGTAAAAGAAAAATCTCTACCCTAAGAATTTCCTAGAGTAGTTCATGGCATTAGCTTGTGTTTAGTAGGCAGTCCATATACTTGCACTGTTGATTTATTTCACTATTAGAATTTGCTAACTAGGGATGCTGAACTGTCTAACTTTTACTGTTCACTTCAAACAATTCTTATGAGCAACTGAACCCTGTGAAGATGTCAAAAGAAGAAAAATCTTACAAGCTTATTTTCTGTTTAGTGGACTGTAAGCAATATAAATATTAAACAGACTGTGCATCTTAAGTATGCTATGAATAAAGATTCTAAGTACTGAAAGGAAAACCAGACAAAACAGCAGAATGGCTTTGAATACAATATAAGGGCTTGCTTGTTTATTTTCTCCAAATAAACTATTTTCTTGAAATCAAACAAGGGAAAATATAAGACATGATGCAAATCTTAAATGAGAAATCTAAGACAGCTTCTAAGAGATCTTTTGTTTATATTATTATACTACATTAGTAGAATTCTTATAGGTAGTTTTATAGGTCATCATTTGAGCAAACAAATCATAAGACATTGTCAGATAAACAGCAGAAGAAAGAATTATTGTCAGTAAAATGCCAAAACAAATTATGAAGCACATATATTTTAGAGAAGAAGTCAGAAGAGGAAATAAATACAACTTTCAATAGAAATCCTTGAAATCATGTACTTAATAACTCCCAGCAATTACAAGTGGTAAGGTCTTCCATAGAGATTTACTGTGGCATTAATTTATATGAAACTGAAGTTGAAAAACACAATTAAAAAAAAAAGAGTCAAATTGGAATGCCAGGTGCAGCAAGTCTCAATATAGTCAGAGATTTAAATGTGCCATAAATAGCCATAGCTTTAAGCTCCTCTGACCCTTGTTGATTTGAAGTTTCTTTTACTACAGCTATTATATCATCAGGGTTGGAAAAACCTCTTCTGTGGGATATGGGCAGAATACTGTTGATGTAATTCATGATTATTGAGATTGTAATTGCTGACTTTTAAAAATAGCAGTATCTAATTCCCCCATGACCTCTTTGAGCCAGTAGAACCTGCTGAAGGAGATATCTTCATAGAGTAATTAGGAAGCTTGGGGATATGACTCTCTCAGGAGGTTATCTTAATTTTATATTCTGCTGTTTGTACTGCAAATTTTAATGCACCTAATAATTGCATTTTTTAAGCATTATGATGCATCAACTACAAGATTGATGAGAGGAGAAAGAAAGGTGGGGAAAAAAGCAAATGTAGCAGACTGAGAAGCACAGATCTCTAGTATCTAGCGAGATTAAATCTTCCACTATTATAATTCAGACAGAGTTTTAGTGAGTCACATCCACAATGCCCAGCCTGACATCAAACCACATCAATAAATAAACTAGTTGAGAAGATATTGTATTTGACAGTGTTCTCTACAAGCCACTATAATAACATTGAATAAAAGTTCCATCTTCAGGAGCAAAAAACATAAATTACTCTACTTCTCTTTCAAGAGACATTTTTCTACTATGATTCAGCTTCAGTTTCATTGCAAACTCTCAATTTGGATTTCTTTGTGGAGTAGACAATGACTGAGTCAAAATAAATTAACAGAATGTGAACCTCTCTCAGGTGAATTTAAACTCATATAATCTTAATTATTAATTAAATGTTGAAGGTTACCATCCTTTACCTCATTTCACCTCTACAGGTGAAATAAATATAGATGAACTGAGATCTGATTTATCCAACATGATTTCAAAATAAATATTTGTTTCCACAGGAAATATTTCCTAAATGATAGTTGCACAATCTTTTTATGAGACTGTGTATGACATAATTTTTAAGGTTCAGAGCAAAGTCCAGTCAACTCAGGCCCTTGTTATGATGAGAACCACATCACCAAACTCCTTAATTAAAAGGCAAAATAGCTGGTTTTTGCTAATTATAGAGGTTCAAAAGGAAGGATGCCAAGGTGTATATAGAAAATTCTTACAACAGTATTTTCTTACAACCACCTTTGTTTTTAAGTGAGGAAAAAGAGCTCTAATATGTCAACATGGGAGTCTCTGCCATTAACCATGGAAATTGATGAAGACTGCAGTACCTCAGTACTTAGGAGAGATTACAGGCCAGGCTGTTCAGATACAAAGATCTGTAATTTTTTACTGACATGGTCATCTCTGCATTACAGTCAAAGTACTCCAGTACTCCAGGCTTTCTATTCCTACAGATTAGCACCCAAAATTATTCCTGTAAGATACCACAGGAAATGTATGAGACAAGAAAAGTTTGCCTTTCTCTTGTATAGGTCTTAAGTAACAAATTCATTGTTTTCATCCTCACCCCTGTCTGTTCTTAAAACAAATCTATTTAGAAGATTCACCTTCTGAAATTAAAGCAAAAACTCTCTGAGATTAGTCAGGAGTCCACAGGGCAAACACCAGATTCTTTAGTGAATTATAACAAAAAAATCCCTAGAAAGTAGACATCTAGGAATCATTCAAGAGCACAATGTTCCCAGAAATTAAAAATTTCACATAATCACTTCTACTTGAAATAGTTAAGACATTGACAATTCCACCTAACCTAGGAGACAACTTGAAGTCTGACTTTTTTTTTTGTTGGTGCTTTTTTTTCCCCCCTCTGTATCTGGACTAGCTATAATAAAGGAGATAGCCAAAATGCAGAGGGAAGCACCTTTAATGTACTGGATCTCCCATGTATCACAATTATTTTTACACTGGGTGTCACACATTAGGTAATGTGAATATATAAAGTGAGTATAGATGATACTGTATCCATGATCACTGGCAGAAAATACAGATAAGAAAGAAAAACATACTGCCATAACAGTGCCTAAAGAATCAGGAGTTTAATAAAAATTTTCAGACAATAAAATACATCCAAAGAAACAAACCCTAAGGCACAAAGTAGAGTTTTGTGATGCTAGCATGTTTCTACAGACCTAAACAAACACAAAAAACTTAAGGTTGTTTATTGTCTCCAGAGAATCATATTGAAGCTTCAATGGTGACAAAAGCAAGACAAACTGCTCATATTTTTAATTCACCATAATGCAGCTGTTTGGAATTAAGTCAGAAATTACAGTGCCCATAAGTCTGCCCATCATATTGTTTGCTGCATTGTTGTCCCTGACAATACCTCAAGGTCTTCCTTCAGAGCACAGAGAAAATCACAGATGTTTTTACTACAGTCTTATTCTCTAACACCATCAATACAAAACTCCATTTTTCCATCAACAAAAGAAGAACAAAATAATTCACCCATAAATTTTTTATTAGAACAGTTTCCTGTAGAAAAGGAAGTGAAACTATTGCACATATCTACCATCAGTCAACACTCAGGTTCATCTAACATAATCTGATTATGTTATTTCTAATTAACAGAGATAACTACAAAAATTAAAATTAACCAATTATTTTCTGTCTTTATCTTCATGTGTACCCTATGCATAGCCACACAAAAAAAACAACCAACCAAACAACAACAAACAAACAAAAAAAACCCAACACATTAAGTGCAACAGCCACTTTGTTAACAAAAAATGGCTGTAATAACATGAATATTTAACAAGGTAATGTCAAGGTAAACCAGCATCCACTGCTTTCTCCCTGACTACACAGCCCAAATTCTCATCACATATGTAAATACATTGAATAGTCACAACTTTCCCTGGGGAAATCCATACAACCTCACTGTACCTACGTATGACTAGATGGTGGCAGTGGCAGGTTCTGCCAACAGAAAAATCATGGTAATGAATTGAATCCAGGGTCTGTCCAGGACATCCACTCAGGAAGAGCAAGAAACAAAACCAGAGCAGCCTGTAATAATCCATGAGCCATCACCAAGATGTGAGACAAAACTACTCACAGTGTAGGTGCAGAGTCCATGCAGTCAGCAAGTCAGGGCAGCAGAGGCACCAACAGGGGGAACAGCTCACAGGGGGCTGGGGCTCCCAAACCTGTGAGCAAGGCATAGGTGTGGGTGTCACAGCTGGGCTGGGAGGAGCAACTGAGGCTCATTCATATCTTCAAGACCTGAGAATGGATCAGCTGCTTCATCAGCCTGGAGAAAAAGCACCTGGGAGACCCTCCAGCAGCCTCTCAGTATGTGAAGGGGACCTTCAAGAAAGCCAAAAAGGGATTTTTTTTTTTTTTTTACAAGGACATATAGTAATAAATAAATAAATAATTATAGTTGTTTTTTGTTTTTGTTTTTACAAGGGCATATAGCAATAGGACAAGGGGAGATGGCTTCAGTCCGAAAGAGGGCAGGTTTATCTTAGATATTAGGACAAAATTCTTCACTATGAAGGTGCTGAGGCACTGGAACAGGTTGCTCAGAGAAAGGAGCAGAAGGCCTCTACATAGGGATGCAGAGAGGTGCATAGGTAGTGAAAGAAGGCACAGACTACCCAGGAGAATTGCAGGTGCATTTTATGAGTGGGAAAGCACACATTGTGGTTGAGACAGTCACGATACACAGAATATAATCACACAACTTCAGAAGGTGTCAACCCATACAGAGTAACACCTTACCTCTTCAGAAGGCTGCAAGCAACTACCCCTCTTGTTCTCTACCCCAGCCTTTTATCCCCTCATGTTGATGCAGTTCAGCTGTGAGCCCTCTGTGCCCTTTGGTGTTGCTCAGTGCCCCTGGGCACTCCCTGGCTCATTGCTGTCAGTGCTGCTCCCCCACTGCTCACAGCTGAGCCCACTGGGGATGAGGGTGGGCTGCAGCCCCACTCCCAGTCACCACAAACTGTGTGCCCACAAGAATGGACAGGGTTAGGCAAACCAGTGCTCAGGTGGAGCTGGGACAGAAGGATGTGAAGGGCAACAAGAGTGGTTCTAGCTAAAAAAGGCTAAGAAAATCACTGATTAACAATAGAGTCATAGAAGGTTAGGAGTTGGAAGTGATGTTAAAGATCATTTAGCTCCAACTCTCCTGCCATGGGCAGGAGTATTTCCACTAGACCAGGTTGCTCAAAGCCAGGGACCTCATAAATCGGGAAAGCTGGACAGGACATAATGCACATCCAACCAATATGATTAATGCAACGTTCTCCTCTTTATTAGTGAGAAGATGGCAGTTTTTATACACTTCTATATAGTTTACAGAGGCACTCTGATTGGCACGCTAACATTGTTTACCTTTGTCTTAAGGTGGTCAGGCTGTTCACACTGCAGGTCTATTCTAATTCACACTCAGCTCATTACTTTGTAGCTACCTTAACATAATTTCTATCTGTGCCACAACTGAATTCTCACTGCATCAAAGGCTCCCAGGCCCCATCAAGGCTGCTTATCTGGGGCCTAGTCTGAGTGGGTAGCTCAATTCTCACTCCAGACATAAATCATGCCCTCTCTCTCAGAAATTCTTTAAGCACAGCTCTGCTGCCACAAGCCACACATTCCCATTTTCCTCATCATGGTAGTCCATCCACTCCTCTGTGCACAGCCGTTTCCAGCACTTCCCACCCATGACAGGGCTTAGGCTCTTGTTTCTGCAATCTAAACCTCCATCCATATTCTGCTCATCCAGGCCAGGGGTGTGCAGTCTGGTTATCTCCTCTCAGAGCTCCTTTGCTGGGTGGCTCAGTGCCTCAAGGACAGCCCTGCTCCCAGAGGGAAGGGCACCCTCAGCACACCCCAGGGAGAGGCACCAGGCACTACCTGCACACTCCCCGTGCCCAGACAGCTGCTGACTTGTGCCAAACCTGCACCGTACATGAGCAGGCTCAAAGAGCTTTCAGCAGAGTTTCTAGAACCCTTTGCAAATTTAAAAAAAAAAAAAAAAAAAAATCTGTAACAGCAACCAGTTGGAAAGAAAAAAGTGTGGGCTCTTCCAGGAACTGCTGACAAAAGCTGACTGTCAAAGCTGGTAGAAGCAAAAGCCTCCAGAAGCCACCCCTCACCTGCAGCAGCAGGCTGCCAGAAGTTCCCCAAGAAAGGCAATCCCTGCAGAAGAAACATATGGAAGAAATTCCCTGAAGAAGCCTGGAAACTGCTGTGACAACTGTTATATCTCTACTATCTGATTCCCTAATTGCACTTAAGAGCAGGCACAGTGAGAACTACTTCTTAGCACATGGGTGTTGTGAATTAATTTAAAGATGAGTTTTCTCAGAGCTAGCCCACAGTCAAATTTTGTGTGTTGGAAAGGGAAGATTTTCTTAAGGTTTCTGTGAGTTTTTCACAACACAGAGAGCTGTTTAGGGAATGCTGGCAACTACAATTGAAATTGAAAACAAAAGGTGCAGACAAAGCCATGGGTGGTTTCTGTGCCTGTCACAACCACACCACAGAATCCCTGAGGATTTCTTGCAAGACTCACAAGACCCTGTACCAGTCCCACTACTAAAAAGCTCTGAAAATCCTTGGGAAAGTTTACAGCAGTGTCCACACAGGCAGTCCTGTCAGATTTTCAATTGCCTGTAGCAGCTCACTCTGGCATGTATTAAACATAGAGGTAGTGAAAATACAGAGAAATAAACTGCATGTGGAAACAGCCAATGGCTATGTTTATATGAGTGAGTAGTGCTGCACAAATAAAACCGTTTTGAGGAGCAAAACAACTGTGCTGACAATGAGACATCAAAATTTTTTGTGCTTCAAGAGCTTTTACTTCAGTTCCATTCTTGGTTTTATGAACTACTTGCTATTGGCAGCTACAGCATGTTAGGTATATTCCTGGAGTGCATCTGCTCCAATGATTTCAGCTGAAAAATACCCAGTTCATGCTTTCATACTCTGGGAGACTGTTCAATGACATGAACTGGCAGTAGAGAGGAGATTTCTTTCAAAAAATTCAAACCCAAATGCTCATATAGTTATGATCATATTTTTTAGAAATGCAAAAGATTTTTCTGCTCTCAATGCATCTAACTCTACCACCTTTTAATTGTTTGGACTCCTTGGATGATAATATTGGCCTGTTACAGACATGATGTAGCTTTTAGAGAAATTCCTTGTCCTTCCCAGGCTGGTTTCAGACACTGAATGTAATGCTGTTATGGTTTGTTAGCTCAACTCTGCCCGTGAGCTGTTAGCTCAACTCTGCCCGTGAGCTGAAGCAGTCTGGTTATCCGTGTGACCTTGGAGCAAAAAACCCAGACATCCATGTAGGGAAGTGCTGAAGGTGGCATACATAATGTGTTCTGGCTAGCACTGAGCTGGCCATCAATCATTCATTGAAATTGTCCCAAAAAATTAATGCTAGGAACCATTTGCACCCTAAGCATGTTGTGTCAATGACAAACAAGATCGTTCAGGGTTCAGTGCCACCACAACCCTTAGCACATGTAAAGTTTTGAAACTAAAACCTGTGGTTTGCAGTGCAGTTCCTTATACATTTCCAGCCACTGAACATATCAGTGAACATATCAGAGGGATAGGGTTGGATGAAAACTGGGAGGTCCTCTTTGGAATCCAGAGAAAAGCAAGATATAATACTGTATATTTTTTAATGCTGGTGAGCTTTCCTGTCTAGAGATTAGACTTTCCACTCAATCTTCTTAAGAAAGAACAAGTATCTAACAATTGTATTCTACCAGTAAGAACTCTCTGCCTGAGAGTTCACAAGAAGTTATCTAATTATGCATTGTTTAAATAAAACTCTAGATATCTCTTAGGTAAAATTAATCCAACCAAGAAAATACATTAAATATTTTATATTGATAGGATTTTTTATATACTACATTTTCCCATAACTATAAACAACTTTTCAAACTTACTGCAGGCTATGGGTTACTCAACTATGTATTTGTTAGCTGAAAGAATTTTTAAACCACAGAACATTTCCATTTTGAAATTCTGATTTAACTCTTCAGAAGAAGCGATGAACAAATACTTTATATCAGACTTTCACCATTACACAGGTTCCTGTCAAATCTGTTTTAAGGATTTGGATTATGATGCATGAACTTCTCTTTCCTTTGTCATCTGAATTTATTGAGATGGTAAATAGGTACTTCTGTGTTGTTAAAATGCTCCTGCTATGGAAATAACTTGTATTTTCAATCCTTGAACAGTACTTAGATACTATAATGACACAAAATATTTATATTGCATACAGAAATGTTGGATGCCAGAGCTTGGTATGTCTTTTTTATGAAAGGCCTGTTACAACATTCCTTTCTAATTAAAATGTCACTAGAGCCACTGGCCTTCTCAAATCAGCTTTTTACAAGCACTACCAGAAAGGTCTTGAATTGTTGGAATAATGCCATTTAAACATTGTAGTGATTCTGTCTTTTTCATCTACCCCACAGAAAACTTCAACTGTAACAACTACCAGCTAATAAAATAGTACCCCACTTAAGAGAATCTCTTCAGGAAAATCTTTATAGATGCTTATAGACTCTAGCAATCTGTAGTTTAGATTACAGGATGGAGAGTGACAAAACACAGACCAGGAAGTAAAAACCCTCTTACTGTTGCTTGTGGACCTAAAAGAACAGAAGAGTCTAGACAATAACTGAACACCCTTTTAAATATTAACACAAATGAAGGAGATTCAACTATTTCCCAGAATTTTTCCAGCTGTTTGGGGTTTTTTTCCTGCTATTTCAGATCTCACAGTTTGTTTTTATTTTCCTCTTGACACTGCACTGTGATATTGCCTCTTTGAAAATTGCAGACAAAGTGAGACAGATGTCTTGAATGTGGAATTACCAGGGGAATAGTTTCTCAAGATGCTACGGGCAGCAGGTGTAGATCTCAGGACTCTCTGCCTCCTCTGCTGTGGGAGATCTCTTAATAATGTGCATAACAAGTAGAGAAAATCAGATACAAAGTACTACAAATATCCAGACACATTTGAGAAAAACATTAAGAGAGAAAGTCAAAACAGTACTTGTGAATCGGGTCTGCTGTTTACCTGGAGCCAACAGATGATTGCTCCAGAGAGCACAGTATCTTTCTGCGCTGCCCTAAAATAAAAAATAAATTATTTTGTCATAGATAGGTAGAAGAATTATAAAAGAAAGGCTTTATGAAATCAGGCCTTGCTTGGCTAAAATTGCCGAAGTTGGCCTGTCATTTAAATGCATCTAACAAGCAATTTGCAAGTTCCCATGTGAAACTATTTTGCGAATGAGAAGTTTGTTTAACACAACAATCTATTCTGAGGGTGAAAACCAAATGCACCTGTGTAAACAATAAGATTTGTTCCATGAGAACCCACAAAGAAGAAATGTAAACATATCTAGAGAGAGAAAATTTGACAGACATAGACAATAGCCCTTACTGACCAATGAACTGAGTTTTACTGTATTGCTGACCAATTATTTCTGGTTTAACACAGTGACTTCTGATATTTCCTACAAATATGAGCTTTGTGAATAATGAATTTGCTTTCTGAATGAAGAAAATGGAGTCTTGGCTGATTTATTCTAACATTAATATAATTGTATTATAAACAGTAAAGAAGGACATCTGTTTCTGTATTTCTTTTTATCAGTTATTAAGCCTAGTCCCCCCTGCCCCCCTTTTTAATTTCTGTGGCAGGAGATTGGTTTTCCTTTTTTTTATTGGACAGAAATGCTAGAACTTATGAATAAATTTGTTGTGTTGTTGTTGTTGTACATCTTAATTACATTCAAAAGATTTTCTATACTTTTTTTGCATATATGGTAAGTTTGAGCATATTGCTTATAATGTAATCAAACATAATCAAGTATGTGGTTATTATCTGTAAGATAATGAATGAGGAAGAATGTGTTACTGGTTTTAATCATTGTGGAATCCAGATGATAACATTAACCAAAGGAGCCCAGCTCAAAGGTTCTCTAATAACATCTGAACTGTACTATCAATTTAACTAACTTAGCTTGCTGTGACTCATACAGGTTAGAAGAAATTAATTTCTTTTGGAGAAATTTGGAGTTTCAAAAATAAAACTTTTTAAACATTTTCTTTCCTGAACCATAAACATCAAATAAAATTTGGTAGCAGTAAAACAGCAAGTTGCTTTTGCCAATATGCATGCATCAACTTTATCTCATTAAGATGGAGAATTTTTATTTTGTAGTATTGATTTTTAGGTTTTCTTTCATCATTTTTATTGGCCTGGCACTATCTTATTTTTCATATTATTTAGTTTCCAAAAAAGCCTCTGTTCTGGGCTCTGGTACAAGCCAACTTACCCTCTATTCACCAGTCTTCTTATGCAACTGATAGTGAGATGGAAAATCCAGAATTTAAAAGAAGAAAAGTTAAATATGAGACATACATACAACACAGAAAAAGATTATCTTGTTTTTTTATTAATGACATTATTTTTTGAGAGCTCAGATGATGTCTGGGAAATTTTTTTTCCTGAACTAATTTTCTTGCCATCCCTTAGCATTTCCTCCCATTCACAACTGTAAAATATTCCTAACATCAATAGGGTTACTGATAGCTGTTACCATTGTCAACATTGTCATCATCAACTGTTCAACAGATTTTAAGTTTCTTTTAATTTAAATGAGGAAAAGAGGTCAGATACAGAGTTCTGTGTCATTCAGCTGCAATCTCCATCACATATTTGATAACTGTTCTGCTTCCCAATTTTATTCAACTCAGGAATCTGTGACTGACAGTATAAAAGACCAAAACTATTCCATGAAAAGTAGGCATTTAGATTTATCCCTGATGCCAAGAGAGAATCCAGTGTGGAAGAAACATGAGTCAAGGTGTCAAGCCACAAAAGTGCTGCACCCGTTTAAATACAGTCTTGACTTTAAAGTCTTGACTTAAAGCAGCCTGTAAAGAATCCTTGAATTAGCTATGTATGAATCAGTAATACACAAGGAATAGAGAAATTTAGGATAGTCAGTCACTTCAGCTATTTTAGTTGATATATTAATCTCAGAGAAAAAGACCTTTTACATGTGAAGTACACAATGCACCAGGTGAGAAGTGAGGTGAGGAGAGTGGCCTTGTAAAGGGAGAAAACTGAAAACAAGGGGAACATAAGGGGAATGGGGGAGAAGGCTGAGAAACAGAAAGGGAATGATATATGGTGCCATATAGGGGAAAAAAAGGATAAAAATGTGCTGTTAAAGACTAAGGAGGATGTGGTAAGGCACAAAGAGACAATAACCTCAACCTGAAAATATATAGTTTGTTATTTGGAGTCATGCTCCAATGTTTTTGAACTCAGGTTCACTGAGGCAACCTTGGAATTCCTCAAAGAGGAAGAAGGCTTTTCCACTCTGTGTCCTCAAGCAATCCTTTGCCTTCTCTGTGCTGCTGAAAGATTGACAGGATGGATAATGGTATTGTTCATTTTTCAAGTATGCATTAATGCCATTGACTTAACTTGTCTATTTTGAAGAGCTATTAGAGCCCCTTTGTGCTGTATCTATAGGTTGTATTGTGGGTTGTCACTACAGCACAGGCACATCCTGCACAGCACTCTGCCTCCCTCACCCTGCTGCTATCTGGCTGTCAACTTTATTGTAAAACATCAACAGGAAAGATGTGTGCCGTATTTTCATCTTTGCAAAGAGACCACATTATGTTAGGCTGCAAAATAATTACATGACATTCTCTGCTTTCCAAATTCAGGATTATCTGGCCTGTGCCTATGGCACTAATGCTACATCTGCTGGTGATATACATGACAGCAAGAGCAGGGGCTGATTTGCAGTCTCAGGAGCTATCAAAACTAGCAGCACTGAAAACACAATAATTATATTAATTGGGCAATGTCTCTACAGCACAAGCTTTAGCTTTGCCTTAGCATTTAATAACTTCTCTCATATATTGGTTATGTCAAATATGAAGGGAAGTCAGAAAGAATTCCTCGGTGTTTTGGCCTCACAGTAGGTACACTAAGAACCAATTTGAGCTGGTCAAAATCTTTACAATGGAATATTTTCTTGTCAGATGACATATTTCTACCAAAGTAAAAATATTCTGCAAGAGTGTACTGATTCTGACAAATTTAATTCAGAAAAAAAATTGTGAAGCATTAAGATTTCTGCTTTAATATGGTTTTATTTCAAGAGCATATCCTTTACAGAAACTAAAAATTAGATTAATAATAATAACAGATTTATTGAAAAGAAATATTTTGATTCAACTAGCACTAGCTTTTCAAGGAATAATAATGAAACAAATTCAGAAGTCACAGAATTTTCCTTTCCACTGATTATCAATTTCTGGTATTTTCCTGCAAACATGAGGTAAAAAACATTACCTCCCTCTACTACTCAGAAACAGATAAACAGGCATGTAAAGGACTTTTACAACATTTTTCTCCAGAAACATGATGAAGTTTATAAGCTGATGTTTCTACTAAATTCTTCCTAGAACTCTGAGTAGATGCTAAAGTGATATAAATCAGAGAAATCCACTGTGACCACAGCAGGCAGAGTTTGATGCAATCAATCATCATGAATGCTCAGGCTTTTCAGGTGCACTTGGTGCTGGACACTTGCAGCATGTTTCATAAAGTGAGCATTGAAAAAACTTACCATTTCAGCTCAGTTTGCTGCTTTGCTCTGTGGTGGCAATTTCTGGGAAGTCACTTAATCACCCTCTGTCTACTATCGGTCTGTAAAACTAAAATAATACTTTCCAACTCTCATTTATTCTAGAATTAGATGTTACTCTTGCAATTCACCAATGCTGGCAGACCATGTAGTGCAAATTGGAAGAATAGGCAAGAATATGTACTAAGTGTTTAAGAGTGGAAAATATCATCTAGACTAGAAACAAGAATAAAGAAGTGATTTCTTATTTTAGAATTGGCTACAGAACTTGTACACCGAGATTACATTTCTCAAGTTGCTAACCAGTAAACTCTTCATAACTTAGAATTCTTAGCTAAATATGTAATTCATTATCTCTTCCATTACTTGGCCTTATGGGCACTCATATCTTCACATCTCTTCAGCAAGTTAGTGATTTATCTTTTTATTTTTTCCAAGTCTGCAAATTAAAACAGTGATGATCACAGATTCTGTGTTGTGAACCAAAGCCTCCTTCACACAGGCTCTTTTTTAAAAAATTGCTTTTCATATACAATGAGACCTAGTCCATGAACACTTGAAGATTGCAGAGGAAAAGCTTTTTCAGAGAAGAATGAATTATATTTTGACTAAAAGCGAGATGGGAAAACAGCTTTACATACTCAATAGCTAACATATTCATCTATACAAAAGGATGTCTTTATACAGAGCAAGGCTGAAAAACCCTTCAGTGGTACACCAGAGAAGCGTTAGAAAGACAGGTACTGAATTGCCATTATCCTTTAGACAAGGGGTCTGAACAATATTGGTTATTTCTGTTATTTACTAATTATTAAATTTGTCATTACAAGACATTGTTTGAATTTCACCTAGTCTGCCCTTGTCAGAGGGGCAAAGGACACTTACTTTATCCAAAATTATCAAATTAGATTCTTAGCTAATTAATTAAGTCTCACTTGTTATGGGAAGCTACATAGACTAGAATTTGATGCTCTCTGTTAGCTGTGTTTCTGATTAAATACTGGTTCACACCTCTGCAGGACAAAAAAAAAATAAAAAAAGCACTAAGTATGGGTTAGAATCTATCTAGCACTGTTTGTTGACAAGAGAGACAAATACATGCCATTTGCTGGTGTTCTCTACGTGTGGTCTAAAATGCTCAGCAGCAGAGCATCCACAATTCTGACATTTGTTAACACAAATTACCATGTGGGCCATCAGAAGGGCCTGTAGCAGCAGCCCACATGATAATTACCTGGGATATGGTGCTGTGGGTTCTGCAGGGCCTCCCCAGAGGCTGCCAGCTGCACAGCAGAGGGCCAGCAGCTTTGTGCAGC